GGAGAGGGGAGGACGAGTAGGAGAGAAGGGGGAGGAGCAAAAGGAAGGGAGGAGGAGGCGGAAGAGGGGTGCGCAGCAGGAGGAGTGGGGAGGAGGAGGAGGAGGAGGAGGAGGAGGAGGAGGAGGAGGAGGAGGAGGGCCAGCGTTCTCCCCAGGGGCCCTCGCGGAGCACGCGCCTCCCGAGAGGCTTCCGGCGGGTCCCCAGCAGGAGGCCGCCGAGAGGCCCCCGAGGAGCCGAGCGAGACGCCAGGAGGCCTCGGAGGGGCCCTCCTGGTCCACGACCCCCAGGTGCGGTGGCGGAACGGGCCGAGGCCCAATCGACATATCGTCCCTCCCTCCCTCTCTCTATCCGTGCCTCTCTTCTCTGTCTCTGTCTGTGGGTCTGTCTGCCCATTTGTCTGTCTGTCTGCCACGAGGTTGGCGCGGAGGGCGCTTGCAGCCCTAGCGCCAGACGGACTTCGGCCCGCCGACCTGTTGCGATCTCTCTCTCTCTCTCTCTTTCTTTCTCGCTCTCTGATTCTCTCTGTGTCGTTGGGGGGCAGGGGGGGGCGGGTCCAGGCGTCAGCTCCGGGGCAGCACGCCGGCGGCGTGGGAGCTCACGCCACGTCTCATCGAGGCCTCCCAGGCAGGACGAGGAATTCTCTCCTGCGGGCCTCCATCGCTCTCTCCGTCTCCATCTCTCTCTCTCTCTACATTTTGTGCATGCATTATAAGCACGCAATCCTAACCTTGTTTGTTCTCTCTCTCTCTCACTCTCTCTCTCTCTCTCTCTCTCTCTCTCCCGCACACAGCCGCACTTGCACCAGGCGCAGATCCAGGCGCAGTCTGCTCTGGCGTGCTGCCCCCCTTCCCCGTCCCTCTTGCTCCTCCCCGTCCGCCGCTTCTTCCTGTGACCTTCCTCGCTGCTGCCAGTGGCCTCAGGCAGGCCCCACTCGATGCTGCGGCATCTGTTCTCTTGTTGTGCTTCGCCGCCCCTCTGCGGCCTGGACTCTCCTGAGCCTCGGGCCGCTGCTCGTGCCCGCTCTGGGCAGTCTGCTTCGTGGCAGGTTGGTAGGGGGCAGAGCCGCGGCAACAGGGCAGAGGGCGGAGGGGCAGGGGGAGAGGGCCAAGATCCCCCACGTTCCTCCTCCTCCTCCTCCTCCTCCTCCTACTCCTCAGCATCATCAGCATCATCAGCATCATCATCATCATCATCATCATCATCATCAGCATCATCAGCAGCAGCATCATCAGCGTCATCATCATCAGCATCATCATCGTCCTCATCAGCCTCCTCATCATCAGCATCATCAGCATCATCATCCTCAGCATCATCCTCAGCATCGTCATCCTCATCATCATCATCAGCATCATCCTCATCATCATCATCATCATCATCATCATCATCACCGATCCGATCTCGCGGCTCGGTCCAGGTCGGGCCTGACAGGGTGAGAGGGACCTGGGGCGCCATTCTCAGGAGGGGAAGAAGCACACACGGACGCAACGAAGCTTCGATCACCATCAGCAGCAGCATCATCATCATTGCCCCGTGCATGCGCCCCGGGGCCAGACGTGCAGCTCCATGGGTAGCAGGCGCTCCTCGTCTCCCCCGGGGCTCCTTTTTCTCCTTCTTCCTTCTGCAGTTTTTCCGAGGCCACCCGCACCGCAGGTGTGCGCGCCCAGCCGCGCCCGACCCTACCTACATGGTAGGACTCGGGCCGTTATTGTTGCGCACACCCTACAGGTATGTAATATTTTGTCCTGCTCTCCCCCTCCCCCCGCGTCTTTCTTTCGCTTCTGCTGGCGTGGGCAGTAGTGCGAGCGCCGCCTACCATGGTCGGTCTACGCACGCGCGGGCCTCATACGAGGCCCTGCCCGGGCTCTGCTCTCCTCCCGTTCCCTGCTCCTCCTCCTCCTCCTCCTCCTCCTCCTCCTCCTCCTCCTCCTCCTCCTCCTCCTCCTCCCTGTCGGAGCAGTCTCTCACCTGCTGCAATCCTTTGAAGCCTGGCGGGTCGAGCATCGGGTCAGCCGTCTGCTCCCTGCGCCGCCTGCACCATGCCGAACACCCTCAACTGCTTGTCGTCCTTTATCCCGGCCCCTCGGCCTTCCCCTTTTTCCTGTCCTCTCTTCCTGTTATTGTTGTCCTCCTGCTGTTTGGGTTTCTTTATGGTCACACGGAAATGGTGGTAGTCTGGCCACAATGTCAGGACCTCCTGGCCACGATAGCTGTAACGTGTTGGCAGTTCGTTGCGTGGTGGGAAAAAGTCACCACCACCATCATCACTATCATAATCACCAGCATCATCATCACCATCATCATCACCATCATCATCAGAATTCACATCATCATCGCCGCCATCGTCATCCGCTTCATCATCATGGACGTTTATGTTATCCTCCCTGCTCTAATCATATTTTCCCTTTCCGTTCCTCCTCCTCCGTGCCCTCCTCATCCTCTTCCCCTCTCCACCTCCTCCTCGTGCTGTTTTTCATGTTTTCCCCTCCTCCCCTTCTGCCGAGTAGCTCTTCTATGCCGCGCACCCAGACGTGTAGGTAGGGTGGGCGTGGCGTTTCGTCTGAAATTGCTTCATCGCCTTACGATCCTCAAGCTTGACATTTGCAAGAGTTTCAGGGATAAGTGGCGGGCCGTTTTTTGTTTCAAAATGTGGCTATATTTTTGTTCGTGCCGCGCGCATTCTCTTACACATTGGCAGCAGGTTCACGGATAGAAGGTGGATGGTTTTTAAATTGTGGTTATCGCCGTAGCGCCGCGCGCAATCGTTCTAAAACGTGGCAGCTGCTTCACGGATGGAAGGTGGATGGTTTTCAAAAAGTGGTTCTCGCCTTAATGCGCGTTCGTTGTAAACGTGTACAACCTTTTCACGGATTGGGGGCGGGCAGTTTCTTCAACATGTGGTTCCCGCCGAGTGCCGCGCACATTCATTTGAAAGTTTGCGACAGCTCTAAGGATGGAAGGCGGTCTCTTTCCAAAGTCAGCTCTCGCCTCAGCGGCAAACACATTCGCTTTGCAAGTTTGCCGCAATTTCACAGATGGAAGGCGGATTGTGTTCAAATTGTGGCTCTTGCTTTAGCGCTGCGCACAGTCGTACTAAAAAACAAACGGGTGCGTCAGTTTCAAGGGTTCGTACTGTTGAAACACCAGGACTGGATTTCTGGCCCGATTGAGGGTTGCCAGTCCGCAGAATTCACGTTGATTCGCGGTGTTGAAATCCCAGGGATGGTGTTCTGACGCGACAGGACGCAACAGTCACGCTAATCCACAGTCCGACGTCCAGTGCTTTGGCACGACTGGGGATTCTCAGACGGCTGTGACCGACTGGGTTGCTTCCCGCAGTGGAAGTAGATCGCTTGGGGTGGTGTGAAGAGGCAGCGTGGAAAAATAAGGTTTCTGGCAACATCGCTGATGCGCCTTGGGTCGACACTGGTTCTTCTCCTCATCTCCCCTCTTCGCCTTCTTTTCCTCCTCCTCCTCTTTGCCCTCTGCGCCTGGCCTGTGCCGTCTTACGCCTCCGCCGCTGCCGCGCCCGCCGCCGCCCGCAAGCGTTGCCGCAGTTGCAGAGAGAGAGAGAGATATATATATATATAATGGGAGAGAGAGAGAGAGAGAGAGAGAGAGAGAGAGAGGAGAACCGAGATAGTGGGAAGGAAACGGGGGAGGGGGGGGGGTAGACGGGACGCACGGTCCGCCGTTGCCCCCTCAAACGCACTTCCTCCTCCTCATCCTCCTCCTCTTCCTCCTCCTCCTCCTTCCGTAGCCATTTTAGTTCAAGGCTAAACCTTGTGAAGGGCTATAGACGCC